CAGCAGCCGGGGGCTGCCTGACCTTTATGTGCCCACAGCAAGTACTTTAGGTTACAGACACTCTGAACCTTTCAGTGTGAGTCTGACTTGAGGGCCTGATGAGGGCAGAGAGGCTTTTTAACACAAATCATTGCTGCCTTGGTCTGGCTACCAGGAAACATCAAATGCCCAGAGGCCTTGGCTTTCCAGCCCCGGCCTGGCACATTTACACCAGCCAAAGGCAACAGCACTACTGGCACATCCCAAAAGTTAGCCCAGCACTTGTGAGGTGGGAAATGGGGCAGTGGAGGGGCAGGGTTCCCTCCCTCTTCCCAGACATGCATTGCATGGCCAGTGACATCCTCAGGGCTGTTCTCAGGCCATGGCCCTGACACTGCAGCTGCCTGAGGGCTGCAGAGGGCTGGTTTGAGTGCTGGACTGAGGTACTGTGAGGGCAGCTCTGAGTGCAAAAAGCAGAACAATATGAAACCTTAAGAGACAAAACCTCAGCTGCTGCTGAACCATCTCAATGGCCACTACAACAATGTCTGTTCCATCATTTAAGTCCTGCAAATATTTCTGCCTGTGCCAGCAGGCTCACAGAGCCTAGTTGCTTTTATTTTATGTTGGGAACATCAGCACAATGTTTTGACCTTTATCCTTAGGTTCCCATGGACTACTTCAGAGATGAAACCATTCTGACAAGGCTATACTAAAAGCGAGGAGCCCTGACAATTTGTACATCCTTTGGTGAAGACTCAAAATCCAGGAGCTGTCCATCTCTCTAACTCCTCATCTTCTACTCCATATTTCAAATATATTAGAATGGCGATCTTTTCATCATGGCAAGTGTCTTCAAAAATCAAGCATCTATCACAGTAATGGCGTGGTCCATCCTTGCATTCAGCTTACATGTCAGCTCCAGATGCCAGCCCCTCCTAAGCACAGTGGAGGCACCCTACAAGAAGTGACATAAGCATGCTGTGACTGTCAGATAATTCGCAAGTTGGCAGCATTAGCTCCTGCCAGAAGACAAGTCAAGGTGACAGCACAGCTGTTGGGCTGTTGAGGTGTTCACCAAACCTCCATAGGCAGGAGCACTACGGCCAATCCCAGGCAAAGCTCGGTTTGCTGCTTCCTCCACACCTGCACTGATGGCTTCATAGGACAGCTTGCACCCACTGCTTGGGAGTGGTGACTTTGCTTTCCAGTCGTCACCATGATGACACAAGGTGGGCAAAGGAAACTTCATGTTTAGGGCAGTTAATCACTCCTTGAAGAAGGCATCTGCATTTTTGCAGCACAACAAAGCTTTCATGAAAGGCTTCTGTGTATTTTTAAGTTTAGCAAATGTGTTCATGTCCTACACAAATATGTTTGAAACAAATGTTAGAATCAGTAATGGAATTCAAGGTTTGGATTTTGTTCTTCTGGTTGCAGATTTAATTTGATTCCCCATGACTGTAGTAACTAGATCTACAGCAACAGTTATTAGAGGAGGGGGGAATACACTCTCTGTGAACACAGCAAAAGGAATTCAGTGAATCCAGCTTCAGGCAGTGAGTGAGTCAAGAGCACCATCTCGTGGTTTTCCCTTTCCAGAACAGATTTCATTTTGAAAAAATCTCTATACTACGGCATAATTTCCTCAAAAGGAAAGTCCTTGGCTTAGGGAGGTGGGAAAAGAATTCTTATTTCGAATCTTAATCTAGATTCCTTCTTTTTAAAGTTTCTAAGGCGGGGGAGACTTTATATTTTAGGGCTAAATATACAGCATTTTTTGCTTACTTGCAGTGAAAGCTTTAGCTAGGGAGAACATATCTGGCACATGTTGCAGTTTTGCCACACATTAGAAATCAGGCTCCAAGGTGACCACCTGGGCTAAGGTGCCAATAGTTGCAGAGTTGAGAGTTGTTTTTTTCTCTTATTTTGATTCTTACATGTCCCACAGTCCTCAGAGAACAAAAGCTTCTGCTGGAGGATACATTAAACTGATAAGTGCATCCAAACTTGTCCCTGTTTATCCAAGTAACTCTATCATCACTATCAGGTACTTCTCTTCAGCTTTTCTCCTTGCTGTGATGTGAGCTGAAATTGCCTTTAATGACTAGCGGCTCCTTGGGTTTTCCAGGACAGCATCATAAGTGCAAGAGAGAAGAGCTTAAAAATGCAGATATTAAATATTGATTTCAGAAAGTCCTAAATGTCTACCTTTGTATGTCTCCCAGCTAGCATTAGTATGAAGGAATAATCTGTCTTCACAGCTGTTCAAGCTGGGGGAAACAGCTGCTAGACGCAGCAATTTACACAGCAGAGGAACGTCCCACCCTTCCTCACCATGCAGAGCCATTGCCAAAGATAAGTGAGGAACTGGAAGAAATCTGTACTTGCACCAGGAGGCTCTGGCAGCCTGCAGGTATTTATCACCCTCTGTAGATCTGAAAGGCGCATGCAGTGTGGGTAAGCAGCTTATCGCATTCCTGCAAAGTCACTGGGGCTGCCAACCGCTGAGTTTGAAAGCGCTTTTTGACAGCAGCCGCAGTACCTGAGGAGCGCTGATCTCCATATGGCAATGGCCGCGCTCCTGCCCCGGGATGACTCACAGCGATTGCATATCAAAGGCAGGTCCGAGATAGCTCAGCAGAGACATCCACAGCAATCTGCATCTACGACTTTCACACCTTCGGCACACAAATCACTCTCGTCACTACTCCTTGGGGCACCTACTAGTAGTGACACCCATCATCCTCACCCTCTGAGGTTCTGCTTTCTCCCTCATGCAGATGCCAGCATGCCTGGGTGGGGACTGATTGTCCACCTTCTTTTTCTGCAGCTCACCATTCACTGAAACTATTTACGAGGAGACCAAACATCCTGCGACTTCCAGGAAGATGCATGGTTTTATTCAGGCCCCATGCTCAGTGTTATTGGGCAAGGTTTGAAATGCTGGACAGGATTATGATAAAGAAATAGCTGTGCCACCCTAACAGATCCTATGCTTAAGAAAATTGTAAGTGTTGATTACAGATCAAGGTTCTGAAGATGTCACTCGCCTGTTGAAGGCTGCAATCTTGAATGTCTATTCTGATTAAAACTAAAGCTGGTAAGCAAGGATCTGAAGATCACATAAATCAAAAAGTGTTGGGCAAGTGAAAACAGCCACAATGGTTTGCAGCAGATGCATTACATTTCAGCCAAAGCTTCATTAAGTAAAATAATTTGACCTTTCCATCCAACAAGGTTTCAGGTATAAGGTAGTTGCTTCTTATCACTTAGAAGTTAGTGAAAAACGTTCATTTCTTATCTGGAGATAACAAGGAATTTTTCTCAAAATTCTTCATGAACAGATAAATTTCTACAGCTAAAAATGAAAAAATAAAAGGAAGAAAAAGAGCAGCTCTACTTTACTCAGTGTACAAATTGTTAGGCCTGCTAGAAAGTGCATTTTTCCTTTAAAAAGCTCAAAAATATGAAAAGGTAAACTTGATTTACCACATTCAGTTTGAAAACACACAATTTTAATTCAAGATGTATCCTACAGTGCAACACCAGTCTAAGAGTGAATACCTGTGCCATATTTCTTGAAACTACAATGGGAAATAGCATTTCTGTTTGCATCACGTTATCTGCATTCTTCAGGTCACAGGAATTTCAGCCACAGATGAAAATTTTAACAAATTTTGCTTGTAAGACTTCTCATCTGTGTGTGCTCAGCCCAAGACTTGCTGTGGTATCAAGATTGTATGTTATGTATGTATCAAGATGGTAACGTTCAAATACCAGAATAAAGGATAATAGGATTACAGGTTCATAGAATGGTGTGGGTTGGAAAGGACCTTAAAGATCATCTAGCTTCAACTCCCCTGCTGCAGACAGGGACACCTTTCATTAGACCAGGTTGTTCAGAGCTCCATAAACACTTCCAAAGTTGGGCATCCAGTTTCTCTAGGAAACCTGTTTCAGTGTCTCACCACTCCCACAGTAAAGAATTTTTCCCTAATATTTAATCTAATCCTACTTTCTCCTAACTTTGAAGCCATTCCCACCTGTTCTGTCACTACACATAATAAAGTTCAAGAAGGACTACAGTGCAGTGCTCCCAGTCTGTTATTTACTTACCTAAGAGGGAAAAAACCATCCCAGATAATTCTACAAAATTATTAGTCTTATTTCTTGAAAGCTTGCCTTTCTTTACTGTGGGATCAGGAATATTTTGCTGACAGTGAGCTAGTTTGGCAACAGCAGCATAAATCCAGACAAAAGAAAAATTTCCATTGAAATGAAAAGGAAGTGCTGGCACTATTGACACTATAAACAATTGCTGATAAGAGCCTTTAGGGAAGATGCAGGAATACAGCATGACAATGGATTCACTACACTGCTTTACACAAATCCAAGAGGACTTGCTCCTTGTTGAATCAACAATTTAAAGAAGCACATACTAGAAAACCTGCAAAAAGAGGATGAGAACCACTTAGGATGATAAATAGGAAGGCCAGATTTACCAACCAAGTTGTTGAGAATAATCATTTATTTTTATATTTACAAGACAAATATGAATAATATTTACAAATATATACAAATATTAAAATTAGCTTGTGAATTCAAAAAAAAGTCAAAGTATTTTTTAGCAGTATAGCCAACATACAGTACTTTTTTTTTGAACTTAGAAAAGGTTCAAGAAATGAAAGAAATGAAGAGAAATTTCAGATTCACAGAAGAGAAGGCATCAGAGAATATAGTATTATGAATGTCCACATTTTAAAATCAAAGGCAAAGCTTTGAAAAACCATAAAATCTAGTCTCTCTCATATTTTCACATTAAAAGGGGCTTCACTCACCTCACTCAACAGCACGAGAAATGCTTTTAAAACCTTTCTGAGCAGGATGATTAAATAGTACAGAGGAATAACAGAATTAACCATTTCTATCAATATGGAATAGCAGAAAGCATTCCCTTATGGATGACTAAAAAAAAACTTCTATGGGACGTTTTCCAATTTGTTCTGGGGGAGGATGGATCACAATCTCTTTAGATTCTGTTTGCTTTTCCTAGTCCCAGGAAGCGGCCCTGGTGTGGAGCTGTGTTTCACTGGTTTGCTGCTGACACAGTCAATGGAGCTGTGGTAGCTGCACATGCACTTGGTGCAGAAGTCAAAGCCACAGCTCTCACGATTGCACGTTGCTCTTTGGAGGTAGGAGTCATACTTGGCAGGTGAGCCACAGCGATGGCAGGCTTTAAGGCTTTCTGTGTTCTTCAAGTTCCTGGCAGCCTGTCGGAAAAAGTACACACAGAAAATTGTGAGTAGTGAGTAAATACACTCCCCAAACACTTCATGATATTGTCTTAGTGCCACAAAACATATTATAACGCGTCCTAATGTAAGGAGACAAACTAAAAACTTAGCCTAATTCTTGTTGCATCAAATTCTGATGGAGTTCAGAACAGGAATAATTGGGATGCAATTGCAGGTATTTTGAACTGGAATAGAGGTAGCCAATTTAAAATTCTTAAAATTTAAAAGTTAAAGGACAGGCTAAATCAAGAGCAGTAAGGATAGTGGCCTTCCTGAATCTTCCAAACCTCATTCAAGGATGGTGATGTAGTTGTATATAGATGCGTATATTAGGAATTGAATTTTAAGACTGCTACTGAACAGTTGTTCTTTTACATTCCTAATGCTACAAAGTCTTGTATAGTAGTATTATAGCATCTTGATTAAACTTTCCAGTGACCTTTCATCTTTTGTTATTGCATAAATTTGAAGAATAAGACTGGAGCATAAAACCTTTTTCTAGTTAGAAAAATATTTTGTTTAGAAAAAAGCAATAACTTTCAATAAGCATTTTTAAAAGTCTTATAAGATACAGGTGCAGGTCTACATTGCAAGTATGTGGGGAAAAAAACCCCAGCTTAAGAAAGGTGAAGGGGAAACAGGCTATTGGCAGTTATTGACAAATGTGTGACACATTATAAGTAATTAGTTAAAGTAATTTTAATGACAGGTTCACAAAATACCCCACAGAATGATTAAAAGAAATATGCAGTGCTAATTTTTCTAAAAATTAAAACTAAGAACTATTAAGTCTTTCAGTATTTTTCTATTTTCTTCCTAATAGTCCATCAGTTTTGAAGCAAAGTTGACAGTTTTTGTGATATTGCTTATCTGGAAAATATGTGATTCATTATAAAACCATGGGAAATGACAGGAAATCACTAAATTTCTTCATATCTGAGAAGACAAACTTTATGCAAAAAAAAATCACTAAGTGAAACTATTAAGGAAAAAAAAGGATGTAGAACATCCCAGGCAGCCATAATAATAAGAATTACAAACACTTGAAACTGGAGATGTTACTTTCAAAAATACACTTTACTAAGTGCTTGCTTGCCAGACAGAATGAGAGAAATTAAAAATGAGTGGAAATCACCACTTACCTCAGAAAACTCTGTGAGCCTGCTGTGATTCCTAGATGCTTTGGATTTGTTGCTTTTTTTGTTCAAGTGTTTTGGTGGGGTTGCTTTCTGAATGGAAGCTAAGGACACTCTGTAGAGAACGTACTCTCTCGTTGCATCACGCTCTGGTGCCTTAGTGACATTCTAATGAAAAGAACAGCAAAGACTTAAATTTGGGAAGAGAACTTACACAATACAGAGTTTTTTGTTTAATAGAAGTCATTAAGTAATTTTAGATTCTTCCTCCTGGTTTCCAATAATAAAGCATCACACCAAGGAGTGCTACTGATTTTACCATAACTTTCAGTTACTTCTGTTATAAATGCATAGAACAGCTCCCTAGTTCCTAGTCAATACCCAGCCATCTTCTCTCATGTAATCCTACTTTCAAAGTAACACAGTTAATTAGGCAGAGGATGTGACCTATTCATCATATTTTTTAAAGCAAAAATCAGTACTTTCAATTCTTTATGGTGAACAGGAATGCTTGAGGCTTTCTTTGTGAGAAATAAACTCCGCCCACTAGTTTTCCAAGTTTCCAGTTAAACAAAAAAGCATACAATAGCATGGAAGAAATCAAACTTTATGGGATGAATATTCAGTACAAATGTTTCACCCTGACAGCACTGTAAAATACTACATAACATTTAAATTGTTCAACAGCCTTATCCTGTGGCAGATCCTAAACCTTTGTTTGTTCTGTCTCTCCATCTCTCAAGAAGGAAAAAAACTTAGTTTTAAGAGTCCTGACTTGATAAAGCACTAGCCTAGTGTGGATGGATCAAGTATTTTTATTTCACAGGACAGAGGCATTAGGAATTGTGCAAAAAGATTTTCAATTTTCCGTAGCAGGCATGGTGGACTTCAGAAACTCCTGCTATAAACAGAGACCCTGATTCACAGGGCCACCTGAGAGATTTATCTCAGTATTCCTCACTTCTGGATCAGTGGGGATGCTGAAGCAAGCAAGTCCCTGCTGGGAGACTCTAGCTGTGGGCTAGAGTCTCCCAGCTGTGCTGGCAATGACTCTCTCCTTCCTGCCTTTCTCTGTAACACAGGACTTGCGGAAGCTCTTAAAAACATCTGCATCTCTCCTTGGGTCACCTTCTCAGTCAACCTTCCTTGGGGTCCCCAAAGCCCCTCAGGTAACTAGCAATGCTTGAGGCAAGGCATCCTAACAGGACAAAAAAACCCCCAAAAAACAACAAAAAACCACTCCAGGGACAGTTTTCAATCTAAGAAACTTATCTGTGATCTCTTAAGCTTAGGAGGAGACCTTCAAATAGCAGAAAAACACTGATGGTTCAGTGCAGAAACTTACAGAAAGGTTTTTCACAGCTCTGCTATGGATTTGGAAAATCCATTTTTCTTCTTGTAGAATCTTCTGCCATGTTGTGCTGACTTTGGCAAAACTGCAACAACAATACAAACACATCAGTTGCCTCCTAGGAAAGGGATTTATTAAATAGCAAGAACAACCTTTTTCTTTTACATAAGCATAGAATATGTTCACAGTTATAGTCTTTAATTTGCCTTTTAGGGAAAAGACATTCTCCATATGTATCACAGTTTACATTGTCACATCGTATTTTAATATATTAACACACAATACTAAACATTGAGTAAATGTCACATGCCCCATATCTAAAACTACAAGGCATGCGATTAGGTTGTTTCCTTTCTAGTGAAATGCAATGACATGAACATACTTACTTTACTAAATCCATCTTGCTGAGATGCCTTAAAATGTTTGCTAATATATGCCTCAGGTTCTTTTGGAAGAGTTCAGCAAGAATGTCTATTCTATCCAGCCCCATTTTCTTTCCAATTAAGTTACAAAGTTCAAATTTTCCCATAGAAACAATTCTATCTACAGCAGCCCAAGACTTGAGATTTCTTTTACCACTTTTTTTCAAAGTTGAGCAAACCACTTCTTCGTAATGGACTACTGGCAACAGTGTCTTCTTTGAAAACTGTTCTTGTTTTTGGTTCTTCATGAGACAATGCTTTGGTGTACCACAGAGGTTCCCAGCCAAAGGTAAACTATCCTCATGTTCTATTGCATCAGCATAGTGAGTGCTTAACATAGAGGAATAACCACTGTCCTCATTAAGTTTACTGCTTTCCATTGCCTCCATTTCACAGATACCTTCATCAAGTCTCTGGGTTACTTGGTTGTTTTCTTTGTTATGTATGGGTCTTTCTCCATCTTCAATATCTAGATTTCTGGTGGCTGCATGGTATGAGTCACTAAGGAGTATTTTCTGATGTTCTTCTGCACAGCTTTTACAAAAGCCTTCCTCATAATTCAAGGGGCAGGATTTTTCCAATTTTGTTTTCTCCACAGCACATTTCAATGGTGCAAGCCCAGCACGGAGAGAATCAAAATCACGTTTCATTTTGCAAGAGCGGTTAAGGTTCGATTTCATTTTGTTGTTTGTATTCTGCAAGATACAACAAGGGCAGAATGAAAACACAGCATAAACTAGATCACAAATTCTTTCTCTTATGAAGACTCTACCATGCTTCCCTTCTGACTCGCCCTTTTTATCTGACTCACCCTTTAGTATCTAAAATACAACTAATGGAACTATGGATTTGAACAGCCACTGATTATACCTACGTAAGATCTTTCCAAAAATCAGTTTTATGCTGCATGTAACTAAAGAAAGAAAACCGACTGAGTGATTTACTTGGCCACCATTTCACCAACATAGATGAGACACACATCAGTGTTTCCACTTCCTACCATAAGGGCAGCAACACAGTCAAGACACTTGAGGTCCCTGCAAGGGACACGAGTGGCAGAGGGTCCCTGAGTGACTGCAGGCCTGTGCAGGCCAGAGAAGCCTGAAGCTTGCATTCAAGACCAGAAGCAATGCTGCTGCTGCTGTAGCCAGATATCTGGCATTTTTGAGAAGGGAGGAGGCTGGGGGGCACAGGAAAGGCTTGAGTGCTCACATGTGTGAGCAAAATACAAAGGAAGCAGCCATACCTAAACAATGATCAGTGAAATAAAGGTTTGAGCATGACTTAAGGAGGATGGGAGGTCGATAGATATCATAGGAGAATTGATACGCCCTTTTCTTGCCCTGTTCCATTCCCCTCCCCCGCGAAATGTGGTGCTATCTATATTAACAATTGCGGGGGGATGGGCGGGAGCTGAAGGGGAGAAGGAGGTCATCTCTCCCCAGTTAAATTTAAAGGGAAAATAAATTTTAAGATGCTTTGCAATCCGTAGGAAATAGAAGATCCTCGATTTGAGTAAGCATTTTAAAGGATTTAAGCACTTCCAGCAGTTTTGTAAAGAAAACGAGAAAAATGAGTTTCGTGAACGACTTAGAGAGTAAGTTCCCTCTTTGTACCTAGGTTTGGTGTGAGAAAGGTGCAAACAGGCTTATGGCTTTGTATCGTGTGAGTTGGGGAAGAAATGCAAGCCCCTCCTAAGCCTCCCCCTCCTCCCCTTCCCTTCGTCCATGCGAGAGGCCAGAGAGGCTTTTGGGCTGAAATCCTGATTGATTGGAAAATGTTCCAAAATCACATTTCGGTGCACAGGGCCTGCCCCGACCCCCGGAGGAGCGGGCTCAGCCGCGGGGCCCCGCGGCACTGTCAGGCTTCTCCCGCCAGCGCTCAAGATGGCCCGGCCGGGTCGGTGCAGGTAGACCGGGTCCCGGCTCCGCCGTGCCCCAGGAACTTCACCCCGCTCCTTCGGGCGCCTCCTGCAATGGAGGATTTCCCCCACAATGGAGGATTCCCCCTAACACGGTGGTGGCGGGGCGAGCAGGACCGCGCCGGGGGGATGCTCTTCCGACGGCGTGGCCAGCGGGCGGGAGCCAGAGCGGCGCTTCCCCGCCCGCCGCTGCCCGCCGGCGGGAGCCGGGCTGCGATCCGCATCCCGGCCGTTCCCGGCCCCGCCAGCGCGGGGAGCCGCCGGGACCACCCCACACGCGGCTCCTTGGCGGGATCGGGGCGCTCCCTGTCCGCCAAGGCGCCACCGTCCCGTCCCATCCCGTCCCGCCGGCGGGATAGCTGCGGGGCTAGGCTAGGAGAGCAGTGAGACCGGGCGGCGGCCAGGAATCCCCATCCCCAGTCCAATCCCCGCCGCAGCGCCGCTAGCATCCGCACGGTCCCGCCAGCACGTACGCCAGCAGCTCCCGCCACCCCATCCCAAGAGCCCTGACCGCGGAGCCCCGCCGCCCCCGAGCCGCCCCCAGAGCGGCGCCCCGGCCGTGGAGCCCCGAAGCCCCGGAGCGGCTCCCGGCGGAGCTCGGATCGCGGCGGAGCTCGGCTCGCGCCCCGCGCTCACCTGCAGGGTTGCACCGGCGCCGCCGCGGGCAGGGAGTGAGTCCCGCTCGCGCCGGCCGCTTTTTAAAAACTTTAAATTTGGTGTCCAAAACCGCGGCAGCCAATGGCGAGGCGCCGAGGCGCCGGCCGCGACCAATGGGCGGCGGGCAGAGGGCGGGGGCCAATGGGCGGCGCGGCGGGCGGGGCCGGGCCCGCCTCTCCTTTCCCTCCGCGGCGCCAGGGAGGGACGCAAGTGGCGCGGCCGCGGCTCCCGCGCTGGCCGCTGCCGCCCGCCCCTTCCTCCCGCGCTCGGCTCCGCACCGCTCCCGGTGCCGGAGGAGCCCGCGGCTGCCGCGTCCCTGCTCCGACACGGGCCCGAGCGCAGCCTGGCGCCCAGCTACGTCTGCGTCTGCTTGTTTAAATGGACGCACCCGGGATCTCCACGTCGCCCCGAACGCGCAAAGCTCCTCTGCCGGGAAAGGATTCTCTCCCACAGTGGAGATATTCAAGGACTGCCCGGATGCAATCCTGTGCCATGTGCTCTAGGATGACCAGGCTTAAGGAGGGATGTTGGACTGCATGACCCACTGTGGTCCCTTCCAACGTGACTCATTCTGTGATTCAAGTCTGGCAGAGGATCTGGGCTACCCACCAGAAAAGAATTTATTTTATATGACCAACGCTACCAGTGGTTGAGAGCCAGCAGGAGCACTGCTGGGAGCTAGGCTGACTAGACACCAGTGCAGGAATCCCCACCACTGCTGGAAAAGCAATCTGCTCACAGCTCAAGGAGATTGCATTTGCAGACACAACATCCCTTGCATTAAAATTAATACAGAGCAAGCGAGGGACTTCAAGTCTTTACATAGTACAGCTTGACATGACAGGCCAAGGACAGTGAAATCCCCCTATGTACAGCACTATGTTCACCAGGTTTGGAATGCCTCTGTCAGCCTCCTGCCAGAGCTATGTGATGTCTGTTTTTTCTCACTATGCTCAGAGCCTTGGCACTCGCAAGGCAACAATATATTCAGTGTTTGTTCAAGAGCTAGATGAGAATACAGAGACGGGATCTGGCCAGATAGGTTACAGGCCCAAAGATCAGGAAAGGTCTAGGGTGACAAAGATCTAAACAATTACCTAAGTCTCATGCAGAAGTCCTGTGTGCAGACCTGGCCAATGGCCCTTATTTGTTGGGAAGAATACGAAACTGAACAGCAAACTCCATTTGTCACTTGGCATAAGAAGGCCTGGCTTTAAGTCACATCCATAGGACTGCCACAAGTACTCTCCAGTGATCCATTTACACTACTGATCTGGTTAGAATGAAGACTTCAGTCCCAGTTTCACGACAGTCACAACAGTCATGACATTAAAGCAGAGACCACAAGCAGTCTCAGTCTCCGTTGTCAACCGTTTTCAACTGTTCGCAACACTTTATTAGTGAAAATGGCTGATCTTTTATACACTTCCCAGTTGTTTCCCATTCAGCTGCAGAATGCTCTTATCTTTCTTCTCTTGATCTCCTTGGTTCTTCTTATTTCTCGCTCCTTTAGCTAACAGGCCCGCTGTTAGCCCCTTCCACAGGCATCTAATTATTTTACACAAAAATTGAGTCAGTTTTACTTTTTTTGTGTGCCAGTTTGGAGTTATAAAACTGCTAGGAAATACAGACTTAGTACTCATGCTTATCAGAAGAAAATATGTATGCCTCATCTTATGCACACAGACATTCCTTCATCTGAAGTTAATGAATGCATCTTAATTTAAAATACTTGGAACTTAATCATAGTTACCATGCAGTGTTTGCTAGAAAAAAAGAAGATAATCAAATCAAATCAAATGCATCAAATGTTGTAAAATGCTGTTAAATACAGACAAAACCAGTAAGTGCTGGTCATAGCACATAACTTTCAGAAGATCAATAACTTGGACATTCCATTAAAACCATAAAGGAGACACTGAAGTCAACTGGATACTAAAATATCAGTCAAACAAAAGTAATTGTAACAATTACTTTTATTTTTGACTTGAGAACAGAAACATTTGTTCCAAAACCAATTCATATGATTCCTCACTTGGCTTCCATGGCTTTTTTTTCCTCCAACAAGGGATATTCCTAAACTTGTTTTGTGTTTATAAATAAGGGCCAGAAGGACTTGAAAACATGACAGCGATACACTTTGACTCCCTTTCCCAGGATACATGTAAATGATTAATAAATATGTGGATAGATAGAGTGGGATCATTTATTTATCACTTTTTTCCAATCACTCAAACAAAATAGGAATTTTTTTTGTTCTCCCAAGTAAGCTATTTCACACTGCTGTGTGATGGTTAAGCCATAGTTTAAATGAAAACAGGAACTAGAAATAATTCCTTTTTTAATGCATGCATACCTTTTTAATCAGTTCTCAGTAGAATTTAAAAACTGCTGTTATTTTTGGTGCAGTCAAATAAACTTTTCACAAGGACTACTGCACCAATAATGTCTCATTTGAAGATAATAAAGTCCTCTATCCAGCAGGTAAGAAAAATGTTTAATATTCATGAGGGCACAAGTTGTGATGTTTTTCATGATCTGAAAACAAGTTCCATTTTCTGGGTGGTGCTCTGAGAAGCTTCTTTGCAGACCAAGGTCTACATCTGTTGTAATGGCCTGAGAAAGAACCACGTTCAGGAAGAATTATTTTTATCATTTTCTGAAATAATTTCCATTAGAGATTCATAATCAGCATATTCTCTCAGAGTTTGTATCATTTCATCAAGCATTTCTTCCCCTAGCATGAAAGACTCAACATGATGCACTGATCTGCTTATTCTGTGGTCTGTAATCCGGTCCTGTGGAAAGTTGTATGTTCTGATCTTCTCTGATCTTCCTTTAGTCCCAATCTGTTAAACAAGAAGAATCAGTTTATCATCATCTTAAAAAAATGGTGAAATAGTGATTAGACATACAAAGCAAAAGGTTTCTCTTCCTCACATGACTATACAAAATTTGTTATAGTTACATAGTACTCAGATCACTTCTACAGCTGCAGTAATTGTTCTCAAACATGTAAAAGAACAATTTTACTGCATCATTTTCTAATACTATTCTGGTTCTTCATGCTGCAATCCAGTTTGTTTCACTGGATCTCTAGGATTTCCCTACTACTGAAATTTTAAGTCTGGCTAATATACGGCCTTTACTGCTGCAGTAAAAGGCAATGCTGTTGTTCAGAGAGCTTGGGGACTCCAGAAATTTTGTTCTCCAGAGTGGCCAAGTGGAAGGCATCCCTTCCCATGGTAGGAAGGCTGGAGCTAGACTGTTTTTACGGTCCCTGCCAATCCAAACCATTCTGTGATTCTCTGACTTTTTTTTGCCTCATGTAAGTCCTTCCTGGGCTGCTGCTGCTCTGTATTTCCATTTACTACTTGCTGTTCAACAAAGGTGTTACCTCAAAGACATATGCTTGTACAGAATTAGATCACAACTAAATGAAACTTACTTGAATCTTTCGAGCATAGTTTCTCTTTTTGGTTTCTTCTTCTAGTTTGGCATTGTACAGTTTAGCACATAGCATTTGCATAGCCTTCTCTTTGTTTCTAATTTGGGATCTTTCTTGCTGACATTCAGCCACAATCCCTGTCAAAAATATCGTGACATTTAGCATTTAAGATTAACACATACTAAAAGAGCTCTGCAATTTCTGGAAGATTTTTTATATGTTATATTAGGCTGTTACATTTGGACTGGGAATGCAGAAGTCCAGGTTTATTAATGAGTAATGATACATTTTGGGAGACACATGTAGGCTGAGTTGTACAGGTGCTTTAAGCCATAAGACAAGAAATTTAATTCAGTGGAAATTTATTTCACTTGGACAATAGATGGATAATGAAATAAAAGATATGTGATGTGATCTGACTTATAAAAGACACCTTCATTACTTGTAAATTTTGGCCACAGTTCCAGGAAATGTAGAATTTAAGGAACAGTAAAATACATAAGATAGTGAGTGCCTTAGCATATGATCAGAATATAAAAAAGTGGGCACTTTTTTATTTAAAAAATTAGTAGGGTGTGCTTTCTTATCTCAAGACACACAATCAAAGGTAAGAAATGAAAAGCCCAAAAAAGGAGCAGGAAGAAGAAATACAGTACAAGCTAAGTTGTTATTTGGACTTATTAAGTAGCTCTGGTAATATTAGAGGATGATTTTATAAGATCACATAGTATTACTTTCTGAAAGACTTATTTATAAACAACATTTTGGATCACAGTGAAAGTTTATAAAAAGATTTAGGATGAGAGAAGTAGAAGAAGCAACAGGACAATTTTAAGGGAAGAGAGATCAGAGAAATGAAAAAGGGAAAGATGGAAGAGGAAAAACTCTGGAGCTAATGTGAGGTATAAACTCCCCTGTTAACTGTGTATAAGTGCAAAAAAATTGCAATACACTTTAAGATTTCTATAACACACCCTAATAACTGCCATCAGCAAAAACGAAGATCTGGTTGTTAGTTTGCTGTGTTTTTATCCAAACATACAGGCAATGCAAAACATTTTTTATCTGGGGACTCTTTTTGTCACCATATAGTGAACAGAATTTTAACCTCCCACTGCTTGCCTTCTGTTTTACTAGAGTGATGCAAAAAGTGCAGAATGGATCGATGTTTTAAACAGATACAACAAAATGGGTGGCAAAAATCTGGATACATGAAGATAAAGAAGGCTTGGGATTACCCTGAAACCATGTAAAGCCTGATGAATGTTTGTGGTAGAGAAGAGGAAAAGTTAAAATGCAATGAAAGTCAAGAAGGCTGTTGTGAATTGCTCAAATGGAAGTAAAAGGCTTAGGAATGGCAATAAAAAGCCCCCATACAACAGCTAAAATCAGGTAGTATTTGAGGGTGTATCTTATCCTTGCTATGTTTCCTAACCTGAGCCAGAGGGATGGGCCTCTTAGTTATGTGTGTCATCTACGGGAAGGGAGCCAGCAGACAAATGGGAGCTGGCATTCTGAGTAGACTCTGCAATTAAAAGTAATGTTTTAATATGAAAATAGCACAACTCTCTTTTGGAGACTTCAGTCAAGAAAATTCAGATAATTAGATTTCAAGCTACTCCATTTTTCGGTGTAATTTTCAATATTTGAAAGCTTAAATATAATTTTTTCATAGAAACTGATCTGACTCCTTTTAGAGTGTCATGTTTAATAGCAAAATTATAGCTTACCTACTGAAGCCAGTAGTCTTCACTGCTAAAAACTGGAGTGGGCACAAGATGATGCATTTAGACTAGTATGAACAGACATGAAAACTGTGTTAAACCTCTGCTCTACTGTTGCCCAGGTTCGGAAATAAAACCATTGTTTCAGAAGAAATTCTGGCAGCAGTTTTGGAATGTAAATCTTTTACTAAGGAAAGGATGAAGCAGCACCTGTTGGAATGTGAACTATCCGCACAGCACTATCGGTGGTATTGACGTGCTGGCCTCCAGCTCCACTAGCTCGCTTTGTTTCTATCCGTAGATCTTTTGGACTAATTTGCAGCCTCATCTGTCATGGGAGACAGAACAAGAGAAAAAAAGTATTTTATGTTGTTTTTATCTAGACAGATATCAAATATGCACAGTCAGTTTATTTTAGAAGGCACATTCATGCAAGATCAAACTTCTGAATGCTTACGGGTACTAATTCAAATCCACTTATAAATATATTAAGAAATCTTGGTAATCAGACCGGAATGCATCATGATGGAGACCCAGAAATCAGCCAAATAGTAACTTAATACATAATCATTGCTTAACACTAATTTTCCTCTCTTCTGAGAGCTCTGCATTCTCTTCCAGCAGAGTTAACCAATATTTGAGCTTGACTGGATGGTTTTTAAATGAAATGGAAGACATTCCCTTTTTTGGCTTTGGAGTAGAGCAATAGCCTCTGTGAGGAAGGAGCAAGACAATTTGAAGGAAGTTCAGGAAGGAGTAACATCTTTGTCAATCTGCTATGTCAACATGAAACTAAGATCAAAACAAAGCTTTCTTAGCCCATTGCTTTTAAGCAAGCAAATATAGCAAAACTGAATTATCATACATTTTAGAACAGGCAAGTGAGGACACTACAAAAATGGGAAAGAGGAAGTGCTAAAAGACGTAATCTATGAGCTTGGTAAAATGATTCAGTCTTTTGTTACTTTTCAGAAAATGTGGTTTTCCACAAAGCATGCAAGACCATCACAGGGAATTTTCAAGTCATAGTTAAGTAAACTCTCAGTGACTTTACTGAAATTAGGATTATGAGAAAAGACAGAAATTCTTTACTCCATCCCTGTGATAAAAATAAAATAACAAATATGACCTGATTTAAAATTAACATTAAAAGTCATAATGTGAGAATATCAAGAGAGGTAGAAAACACTTGGTATCAAACACTGCTCCTGGTAAATTCTGTTATACTGAAAGATAAATATTACCTCAGTGGGTTGGGGTAATATTGCAACAGTCATTGTGCTGGTGTGAATGCGTCCTTGTTTTTCTGTCTTTGGTACCCGCTGAACACGATGCACTCCTCCTTCAAACTTCATGTATTTGTAAGCCTCAACACCTGCAATACTGGCTACTGCATGTCTTAGGCCACCTTAAATAGAGAAGAAAAACACTTGTAAACCTTTAAGAACTGCTGATACTATGCTGTTATACTTCAAACAGTGTATTTACACACCACCGGCATTCGGCTCTTAAAATGATGATTTTACAATTTAAACACTTGGGCAAAATTATGCCAAAAATGCAAGAATAACCTTAAAGCCCTACATATTTACTCACACACTACCTAAAAAAGGAAAGGACTGTCAACGTCTGTTTTGTAGTGTGCAATTTAATTTTTTATATACACATATATAATTTTTTCTGGAGCAAACAGAACACAGGTTCTTGCACCTCTTACCAATACCTCCAGGCAAACACTTGACAGCAGCAGCCTACCAGCACTGAACAGCTTGGAACTTGGAAGTCAAGCCCATAGCAATCATGGCCTTGGGAGAGAGTTTGTGTTTCTACTACTCTATGATATTCTTGATCTTTCTTGTTTGTTGGTGTGCAGTACGAGTGAAGGATCAGAGATGTGATGGCACTATAAATGAACATAACTTTTCACCCATTTTTGTCTTCAATGCAACACAATTCCCAAATCCCATTCTCAGCACAGTGGATAGTGTGCCAAGGGAATGACTGAAGGCACAGGTGGCCTTGAAAGAGTATTGCTCTTCAAGCCTTGCAATATGAAAGCATAGCTGAGGAGAAGAAGAGGCACATGCTTCTCAGAAATACTGGTTTAAGCTATCTCTCAGACTAAGGAACTCAACCACAGGAACAAGACAACAGCTTTTTATAAAAGTAAAATGAAGACAATATGGAATCTGAAATTGCCCTGTGGAGCAGGAAAAAGTCACCTGCCAGTCACAGGCCACATCGTTCACCTCCATGGACATGTTCGTTCACTCATAACTTTATTAAAATATATATTGTTTTACAGTCCTGTTGGTGAAAGATTGGAAGAGGCAATTTGGCTTTCAATTTCACATCATTTTTATCCTTCTGCTTTTAGTATTTGTAGTGGCATGTGTGCCTACATGCTTAGAACAAGATGACCAAGAAACTGGTTCACATGACAGGTATTTAGGTCATACTACTTCAAACTGACTACTATCAACATAGATTTATTAAGAACTGCAGCGAAATCTAATGAAAGTTTGACAGACCTTTTATGCTGGCAGACAAGTCGTAGACCTGTTAAATGTAGTTAACTCTTGATAACTATGTGTTTGCCCCTTTTAAACAAAATGTCCCAATCTATCCTGATGTCTGATTTACTCAGAACAAGGGTATGAATTTGCACTCGTTTGTTATGTGGCATCTTAGATCAGGGAAAAGTTCCACATCTTTGTCTCTGCCTGCCACTGCAGGGTGAGAAGCAGTAGATAAATAATGACATGATTTGTGCTTCAACACGTGTGCTGAATCTTCAACATGCTATTTTTGCATAGTGGTATCCCACGGGGTAGGTCAATAGTCATTTAAGAGTGGACTGGAACATCTGTGTTTTATGGCAGCTTTATTTAACATGCTCACCTGCAGATTTCAAACTCAGGAGTTCTCTGAAATAAGGGAGACTGACATTTTAACACAGGACCTTGCTTTTACTCATGTGACCAATAAAAATGGAATGTGAGTAGGATGTAACAGCCTAGTGTCACCAGCATACTTAGCTCCACGCTTACTCAGCACAGCACAGACACTTTGAACCTGAGGGTTCAAATATCCATTTCATTGGCCATGCCATGTATAGTGCCCCTACCTCCCAATTTATCTCCAGCATCTGTTTAGATAATATGTGGTTACACAAAATCAAAAAATAACCTGCAAGTGGCTGACAAAAGCTAGGACTGCCTTTAGTTTTCCCAAGATTTACATCCTAAATGTTAATTAAGGTACATAAACAAACCCTTAGCAAAACAGACTTTAAAGTAAACATATAACCATTTAAAAACTAGCCCTTTACAAGAGAAAATATGGATAGATTTATACCAGGTTCACATATTAGTTCCATTTCCCATTTAAGGCATTAATGAGAATATCTCTGAGGGTGTGGGCTCCTTGTCCAAGGATTGAGCTTTCACCAAAAGGGCAGCCAAGCCCAACTCCCTTTTTCTTCTAATCATAGGACTGTAAGCTGAGTCAGATCTGACTTACAACTATTCCATAACTGGGAATTTTCAGCCAAATCAGTGGACTGATCCAATTAGCACAGTGGCCTCAAAACTGCTAGAGATGAGAAAGAAAAAACATACAGCTGGCTGGAAGATGAGACAGACTTTGCTTAAGCTGACTGAAACTTGCTCTGAAGGTGAAGTGTGTGAGACTGCTAAGGTTTACCCAATCCAAGTCTTGCCTCAATGGAAAGGCAACTCTCCTCTCCCCCTAGTATGTGAAAAAAAAAGACCCAGACCCTTCCTCTTTTCTGTTTACACCCATTTAATGTGTACAATGTTTATTCCATTTACCTAAGAAAAAAAGAAATAAACAGATTTCTGTTGGCTTTGAAGGCTGAACTGGTTCAGCTCCTAGCAAAACGTTTGCCTGCTCATGAGTGGGGATGAATATGATTTTGTTCCTTCAGCAACACGATGCACTCTAACATGAAGCTTCTCATCCCTATCACCAAGTGAACTGCATAAGTTTACTTGGCACATGAGCTCTTGACAATACAAGAAGTTTATTAATATTAACAAATCTAGATAATAGAAAATAAGTAATTCAAGTGTCATAAATTTTTTAAAGTATATTAATTGAATTATTAGCAGGCACTCTAGAAGGGAGCCTGAATTCATGTTCATGAACTTGAAATAAGATAATTGCTAAGAACTCTAAAGAAAGATATTAAAACAGTTTACAAATATAACACTTTTGAAACTAAATTCTAATAAAGATTTTAACAGCTGTTACAGATAAGCTATATCCAAATATCCCATTCCCTTATATTATAGATGAGATACTATTACAAATAAATTTAAAATGTTTTAGATTAAACTTCAAGAATTTTTTTAATAAAATTGATTCCTCTATGCCAATAGATCCACAATAAAAACCAGATTTTTCAATCTTCCATCAACCTAATCTATAAACAATAAAACTAGATACCAAAAAATTAGATACCTAAGTAAAACACTGCAGTCAAATAAAATTTACATAATCTTTATTAAAAAAAACCTAAACCAACATATCTGTATCACTTTCTAAATTTCCCTTTCTGCCAAGCACTTGTCTTTCAATAGTTTTAAAATGTAGAAATGAAATTACTGAAAGACAAATTTTCTTTGTAGCACTTTTGTATTTTAATAGTTTTTCTGAAATGGAGTTTCGTGCCCAAATACAGAAGCTGAAGAGAACTGTAATCAGACATTTGAAAAATATTACACTTCTAAAATTAAGATAGTGCAAATTAGTTTCCTTTACTTTGGAAATTAAAATATCATATGAATGAGTGTTTCAACTGGAATTAGGAAGTTACAGTTTTTTCATTACTGACCTAGTTCACTGGGAAAGTATTCTAATACTTCAAATTTCCACTTTTTATAAGCAGCATATCGTTGATACATATCAAATATCTCCGAGGTGAACAGCATGGCTTCCTGCCCTCCAACTCCAGCAGTTACTTCCATGACAAGATCACTCTCATCTGTTTCTTCTGAAGGAATCAAAAGCAACACTATCTGTGAATACAAAAGCACCCAGCTAAGACTCCTCTCTGACAGTGCTGTCCACACCCATCTGTAACTGATCCAGGCTGTGCTCTCCCACCCTGAGGACAGGATTCAGCCAGGCAAAGGTGTGCAAGGGTGATGCTGCATTGCAGGAAGGCTCCCTGATTCTGTTCAGGGTCACAGGAGCTACACAGGCCTCTCTTGAGCCACAGGATACATGCCTGTTCTTGTAACACAACTGAATCAGAGCCCCCCTTAATTCTACCTCAGCTGCAGAGCTAAGAAGGATGTTCATGAGCACAGTCCTTCAACAACAACACAAATGTATTATTTGTTTATTTATTTTTTAAAAAAGAGCCTCATTTGCAGAAGAAAGATATACCAAAACATAAAAATGATCAAAATTTTGCATGCTGAATCAAAATTCTGGATGATTTGCAAATGCTTTTAAATCCTCATCCTTTACTAGCATTGGGTGATGTTTCTTTCCACAGATGATGACTTCTTTTGGCAGAATCATAGATATTTACAAAAAATATTTATAAAGTGACTGTTGTATTGTTGTTGGAGGAATAAAGAATACAACCACAGCAGCTTCTACAGTTAAGTTGAAACAGTCTGTTTACCTAAGGATTTTTTTTTTGTTAAATAAAATAGATACTCTGTAAAATTTATATAAAGTAGCAGCCTAACATAGTTACATAGTACTACATTTTTTTTCAAACCCACCAGTGAGTGACACTATGTAAGTTTAACGTTTCCAAGGGCTAAAGAGTTGAACATCCATAAAGATACACCCAGACAAGACAAACTATAGCACCTATTTAAAAAGATACTTTGATTGAAATGTTTTCAGGTACAAACAGACACTTGCTTACAGGATGTCTTTATAGAACCTGATTTTTTAAAATTTTCCTTGGCTAACAGACACTGTTTGGGGACTATAACTAGCACAGTGGGGAGGAAGAAGAATTTATCACATATATCTTGATGAGAATCATAGAATGGTTTGGGTCGGAAGAGGCCTTAAATATCACCTAGTTCCAACACCCCCAAGAAGACAATTTGGCTTTGTTAATTTAAAAATGGCAAGGAAACAAGGGCTTCATAAGGGGATCTAACCTGTTGTTTCAGTTCAGCTATCTCTTCTTCACAGGAAGCAATCTCTGTTTCTGCAAGCTTCCGGAAATCTTTATTCTCATCTGAAATATTTGAGTATGGTTAATCCTCAGACATATATCAGTGCCATTCTAACAAAACCTGTGGTTTTTTTCTAACATGTGGTTATTTTAAATAAATAACCACATGAATAACTTAATTTACCAAAAAAAAAATAACACCCAAACCAAAACCATATTACCACACAACCCCTCTCTCCCTCCCTCCCTCCCTCCCCCAAAACACTAAATCTGTTAGAAAATCAAATTACTAATATGGTCTGTAAAGAAGATTCTAAGTACCTATTAAGTGTTTTCTAATCCTGTGCAGGTATAAGACATGAGAAAAATCTGAAATAAAAGAATTTCTGCTAAAACATCCAAAACTAAAATCCAAGCCAACCATAAAAAATGACAATTACTGCGCCGGTGGTCAAACAATAGCACACAGAGGTTGCACAGATTGGTTGTGAATTTTCATCCTTGTGAAACTTGGAGATACTCAAAACCTAACAGGTGAAATCCTGAGCAACTTGTGGGTGACCTTGCTTGAGCAGGAGGGTGGACTGGTGACATCCACAGGTCCTTCCCACACCAGCCATTCTGTGGCTCTAAAAAAGTATTTTCTGTATTTCAGTGTGGCAAGAACATAAAGGATTTAAAGGGCATAGAGGCTCCAAAATTGCCACTCCTTGTTAAAAGGACTAATACTCCTATCACTGTATGTAAAAATCTGAATACTACAGTTCTAGGGAATACTGGGGAATACTAGTTCTAGGGAATACTTAATCATCTAACGAATGTTTATTGATGCTAAAATAGTCCATTTCTACATTTTAGTTTTCTAACTGTTATCAAAACGAAGTTTGATTCTCAGTAAAAAAAAGCAGCCCATTATTTGGCAGAACTAAATGTGCGCAGCTTCTGACACATAACAAAGTCAAATCACGGTGTGGAGACGGCAGATCCAGGTGCTGACTTCTACGACTGCCAAAACGGAGACAGGCAGGTGGACTGGGCTGTCTTGGCAGCAAGGGGAAGATAAAAAAAAAAACTGCACGAAAACTTAGGAAGTTTTCTATCCCCGATTAGTTATCTTTGTTATTTATGAAATAGGTTCCAGCATCAGCACTTCCCACGCCGGGGGAGGTACTTTCCCCGCTCACTGGCACTGACGATCTCTGCCCGGGCTGTTTCCTCTGCCCTCGGGGGGCGCCCCGTGCTCCCGGGGGTGACACGTGCGGTGTCACCGGCCCCGCCCCGCCCGGGGACACGCGCGCCGCGCTCCCGCCACCCCGCCCGGCAGGTGCGCCGCGCCACGCGCCGGACTCCGCCCCACCCAAGGCCCGCTCGCCCAATGGCGTCAGCGCATGCAAATGAACCCCCGCCCTCTGCCCGCCGCTCGGGGCCGCTCCCCGGTGACGTAGTGGCGTCACGCTCGCGGACCCAGCCGGCCGCGCGCCGCGTCCCGCACCTTGCGCCAGCTCCCGCGTGTCGCGCAGCTCCCGCTCCTTGTCGCGCAGCCGCTGCACGCGCGCCGCCAGCTGCGGCGCCGCCCCGCCCTCGCCCCGCGCGCGCGCCTCCAGCAGGCGGCGCAGGGAGGGCGCGGCGAACAGCTCCTCCAGGCCGGGCCGTGCGCTCAGCCCGCGCCGCGCCGGCAGCTGCCATCCCACCGGCGCCGCCCGGAGGCTCCGAGGGGGCAGCGCGGCTGCTCGGTAGCCTTGCGCCGCGCGGAGAGCCCGCGAGAGCAGCCGCATGTCTGGCTGCGGCCGGAGCGTGGCCGCCCTCCCGTCGTCCGGGCGTCACTGCCGTTCCGGACACGCCCGAACGCGCTTGGCGGCCTCCCTTCCGGATTTCCGGAAGTTGCCGAAGAGACTCGGCGCTGGCTTTGGGCGCAGTCGGAAATCATCGGGTCTCCGGTGGCGGAAATGGCCGAAGGGGTTCGGCTTCCCTCGGCTCGCGCAGTCCCGCCGTGGGGCGGACTCTGATTGGCCAACGCTGGCTGGGCGGGGCTCTCCCTCATGGCCCGGCTGGGCGCCCCGAGCGCCCTCTGCAGGCCCCGGGATGGCGTGTTAGTCATTCTGAACCAAAAAAAAAAAACCAAAAAAACCCCCAAAAAACTACGAACCCCATCAAATCCTCCGTAACCCGGCTTATAGCCGGAGTTCTGAACAAGAGCCCCGGGGGTACTGAGGTTTCTACTGGAGCGGTTTAAAGTCTGCATAGGTAAAGGTGGGGTTGATGAGGAGTGTGAGCTGCAGCTTTAGATATCTGGGTTACTCTTACAGACCTTCTCCCTCCAGAAGAAATCTTCAGAATTAAAGTATGCTGGGGAGGACCGTGCAAAAATTGTGGAAGGATGTCCCCGTACTGAAAGCAGGTGCAAAATTAAGCATTTAGAGAAAAAGAAATGAATTGTCAGAGGAAGCAGAAAGGGAAATTCTAAGTGCCTTCACATCAGAAATTAGGGGTAAGACTAAACGACAGCCCATTTACACAATACAGATCTGAGTACAGTGTTTTGCATGTAAGTTTCCAGTGGGAAATCAGCGAGGATGCAGCCATTTAGGAACTATGTGTTCTGGGGTGATCTGGGCAAATCCCTTCTGAAATGCAGACCGAGTGCATATTACCTTGTTTTAGATAACATCATTAGTGAGATTCTTGGCTAAACTCAAAACAGTTTCAAGATTATATTTTATTATAAAAAATGTGCAACTATCCATAAAATTTCATTAGGCAGTATTTTGTATTACAATCATTGGAGGAGTCAGAGTTCTGTCCTTGCCTTCCTTCTGTCCTTGTTCATATCTTACCAGAACCAGGCTGTCATATCTTACAACTAAATTACAGTGTTGAAATAACAGTTACTTCCTTATGAAACATTAGTAAATTGTTATTTTCACAAATGCAGTATCAAAAGCAAGAGTAATCCTTGAAAACCTAAGTAGTTCTGGTTGTCAGAAAAGAAAATGGGGAAGTTTTTGTTCTATGATGGAAATCCAAAGGCTAGTGTGCAAGTTTGTTATTCAAAATATTAGACATTAAAATGAATGGTTAGATAAAAATGTTTTCCTATGATTTTAAGCACACAGCTTTGGACAGGTGTATTGGCAAAATACAGTGTAGCATGCATTTAAAGTAAAAATCACACTGAAAGATCTTTGTGGAGAATGTACAGTATGTGTGAGTTGTCTGGCACTGTTAAAAACCCCCAGCCATCACTTATGAAATCTCACCCACCAAAAGCTTCCTTTGCACCCTTTCCTACTGCCTGCCCATGAAGCTCCTTGAAGTCTTCTTCCAGAAGCATAAAGGAAAAATGATCCAATTTATGCTTTAGCAGACAAAATATTTTGATGTTCTATAACATCAAATAAGCATCTAACTGCTGTGTGAGCCCAGCTTGTGAAGAGACCTATGGAAAACTCAGAAAACTTAGAGTAAGGGGTAATTTAAGATAAAGCTTTTGAGAAAAAAAAAAAGTAATCTGAGTCAATGACTGATGGTCAGCCTTTGAATCACCTGAATCATATCCCTGTTTTAAATGAGAAGGATGGATTTCCACTGGATGAGTTCTTGGGTAAAGGAAGGGGCAAAATCAGGCTTTTGGTGTAAAGTTAAAATAATATGCAGCCACTGTTTCTGTCAAGTCTTTGTCCAACTGATTTTGGCACTATCATTGCTTTATTCTTTCACCCCACCAACATCACTTGTACTATTGGCAGAAGTATGCAGGACATGTTCGAACAGGGCTGATGCTTTGTCACTGCAAATGTACTCAGAATATTGGTGAACAGGATGGGACTTTTGTTGCTGTGTCCAAGTCCCAGGATGTGCTACAGTGCTACTCTTGGGTCCCTTAAAAAGTAACAGCATTATAGGCTGAGAAAATCCCTATTTGGAAGTTGACAGACATGACTCAGATCAACTTGGAGGAGACATTGCAGCTATCTGCCTATGTGCAACCTTAATTTATTGCTTTCTTCGATTTAAGGGCTCAGGCTCTATTGACTGGGTCAACAATGCCAGGAGCGAGCTTCGACATTATGGAAATACAGACTTTGCTCCTTGTGGTGTAGAGAGTTGCTAAAATTAGAGACTTTCTTGGATCAGCTTTGACTGCTCTTGAATTGGTGTTATGGAACTTCTGCTAAATGGCTTTTGCAACCACTTCCTGAATATGGAAGTTGTGGGTTCCTAACCAGGCTCACAGCATGGTCAGTCCAGCAAGCTGCTCTTACTGAAAAATCCCCACCTGATTTTAGATACTGGCTCCTTGCCATTGAGTTTGCTGCCCAGGGAATCAAGTTTAGCGTGAGATGACCTCTTAAACCCTGGCTGTTGAAGCTAGACTGTAGTTCTCCTTCATTTGCTCGGTTTAGGCCATAGCCTAGCAGCACTTCAGCATGCTTTAATTTAAAAAGTAGCTGTTGCTAGCTGAAGTGTGGTTTGTATCCACGTTCTGTTGTCCTGCAAATGAACTAGTGGACTCCACAGGTACTCAACTGAGTTATGGGCTGGCTGTGGACCTGGAGGTGCTGTGACCGCATTCCCGTAGTACCGTGCCGTAGCTGTTTAACCTGCAGCCCAGCCACCTGTGTCACCAACCTGTCACCAACCTGTCTTTTCTGCATCAAACCTTGAGTCTCCTCCACACAACATGTGCCTTCAGGCTAATCTGAATGCTCATGATACTGTCTGTGAGTTTTGCTTCATTCTGGGTGTCCCAAACTACTTTAAGCTCATTTATGTGAAAGCTGGCTGTAAACAGCTAAGTTGAACACATGTGTAACACAGTATAGATTGAGTTTCTTTTCAGCCTAAATGACAGGAAGGTTCAGAAGTATTCTGCTTATTTTTATCTCTCTGGCATTAGATTCTATCTGACAGGAATTTAAAACACCAGGCAAAAGTGACAAAAAACATAGCTCACTTTCTGTAGTGCACTTGCTATATACATTCTCATGAAAAACTGAAATACAAGTTAAATACATACTTATTTTATTCCAAGCTATAGAATAAGTGTATTTAGGCAGTTTTTCAAAGTGTATTGTACACTGCATGCACAATAAATCAGTTTAATAGCTTGACTTTTTTACAGTTTGTGTTCAAAGAACTGCATGATAGGCAATGAGATCATGTTACTTATTGTCCATTTGGACCACATCCATTTTTGTCATAAAAAAATTTGGGAAATCCAAACCAATAAATGAAATGTATATTAAATGTTTTAATGCGAGCACTTGCTCCAAGAAAGAAACTTTACATGCTATGTTAAATTTTTAAATCCTTCTCAACAGAGGATTTTAGACAATAAACTTTTAAACGTGATTTCATTGCAGTATTACACTGAAGATTGGTGTAATATTTTTCAAAATTATGTCACAGTTTCCAAATACAGATTTTGGAACCTTATGCTAGAAATCAAGGTAATATTTTAGGGCCTGCACATCTAGCTTTAAACCTGTCTTGAAAGGATGACTTGTCTGTGTTGACAAGAAGTTCTACCTGTGTGAAATATCTTATAAAGATAGCTTATGACTAGCAGGTCACCATCAAATAGTAACATTAAGAATATTCAAGTCTACATTTTTCAAGACTTATGCATGCAGTTTTGTCTCTTACACATTGCTTAGATGTGTGCACTAAATGTGTTGTGCCTCAAACACCAACAACTTGAAATTACACTATGTAAATATATACATATATGATGCTGTATATGTTTAGTACCAAGTAAATATAACTAGTCAAATGATACTAGACATATGTAGGACCATAGTTAAATTCCAATTAAGAAAAAAGCAAGAAAAATTATTTTTTTCCTAACAGCATTTCACAGTAGAAGGAGGCAGTCCTTTCTCACTGAATTTCCCCCCTCAGGATTTGTAAACATCATAGCTCGTATTCGATCAGTATCATAATTGAATATTTTATTCATAATGGTAAGTAGCTAACCAACATGAATAAAGTTGTCATAACACGGTAGCACTTTCAGACAAAACAGGTATTTATTAAAAGAAACATTTATAAATATTTTGTCTTGCATTTTAAACTACATTTTCATAAATAACAATATTTAAAAGTGCTGAATATGGTAGGATAGTCAGCAATGCCACTGTAAACAGATTTGTTTTTCCACTTTGCGGATTTTTGTTTTAGATCCCATTTTGTCAAACACTACAACAGTTAAAATATTTGCATAGGGAATAGAGAATAGCCCTTTTAATCATCTCCTGAATTCTATATAAATTACAAAACCAAATCAGTTTAAGAAACAGTTTGTTAAATTGTTCATATATATATATCCAAAAAAAGCACACAGGTTTCAAGTAAAAAGAATGACTAAAAAATTCCCCAAACCTGCTATCTGAAGCATGTTCAATAAATTAAGAAAATGAGAGGTAGTAAAACAAAGGGAAAAAAATAAGCCCCAGAAGATAAACTAAGACCTGCATGCTCCCAGTTATGGTGCCACAGCAGACGTGCCTCGGCGGCAGCAGCTCCCGCCAAAGCCGGCACCGGAGGCTGCCCGCGGGGAGTAACTGAGGGCTGGGAGCCAACTGCGCTCAGGCCAGATTCCACTCGAGGACACAACTGCAGACCCTGCAGGCCAATCGGAAGCGATGGGCTCGTGCCGTGTTCAGTCCTACGCAAGTGAGAAGAACCTTGCCTCTGAAGTCTTAGCATGGTTGTCAGTATTAAATATATATATATACGCACACAAACATTATATATATATATATTTATTTAACAAGTATTCAGAGCAATTTCTTGCTGTATCTTTAGCAGTTTATGAGGGATGCTAACACTCATTTTGCTTGTGTATGGTGGGTATGAAGATAGGGTTTTTTTAAGTTCCAAGTCACTGTCTCTTTAAACATCAAAATGTGTCCTGAAACTGGAC